TTAAATAAAGGCTTCAGAAGAGTCCACTACTGTCTCATCTGCTGGGATAAAATAGTGTACAGTTAATATTTCTTTATGTTGATTCTGTATAGATTTACTTATCTTGTGTATCTACATTTATGAATGTGCCTATGGGTTAATTTGACATACCACTCAATAATATTTTGTAACTTCAGGTACAAATTTAAACTTTTTAGGGCTATGATTTGTTCCAAAATGACCTTTTTGTCCAATGAATAAATTATATTCTCTCATGTAAAGTTGTTACAATAAAACAATGAAATGTAAAGGCTGGAAAAGACCAGTATCTCCAATTTGACTGAAACAATCTGAAACACTGAGCACCGAAGACTCGACTTTCTCCATCAGCACAGACAAATGATTACCTTGATCCATCAAACAAACTTGACCCATTGATCTCACTCAGAGCCGGCAAATACATTGCCATCACAGATACTGACAAAATACACATAGACGTATTTTTTGAGACAACCAAAAGAAAGCATTAGTAAAATGCAAATATCCACTAAAATTGACTTCTCATAACATTTATTATCAATACAGTGTAGAAACAATTAAAAAAGCCCAACAGAATTATTGAATATATGTCAAAGTTTGCATGACCCCTTAATTCCGGAAATGCTTTATTGTGTGCACACCATCGCCACCTAGCAAACATAGAGGGTGCTGGGACCCTTATTCTACGTCCACAGGTTCTTTTTCATCTCCCAGAACAAGCAGTGCATCCACAGACAGGTCGGAAACTCTTCCGACCTCTTCCTTTCCTCCCAGGCATCCTAAACAATGTCTCCCCCTCTACCCTGTTTATCTCCAACTCCAGTTTTGGGCAAAGGGGGGAGAAAGATGATGCTGGGGCATCCACTCTCAGTCCCTGGTCTCCTGAGTCGAGTCCTCTCCTGGGTCCCACCATGCAAGATCTTTCACAATCCTTCCTTCTCCAAAGGTCCCGAGTTCTGTCACTGGAGCTTTCTCAGGGAGCCCAGTTTTGGCTGGGCAGACGCACTCAGAGGGGGTTGGCCATTGTCTCCATCTGAGGCAGGCTGGTCATCAGGAAGAAGCGTGGCATAAACAATATGGGTTGCCTGAGTGCTGTATATAGATTTCCAGGTGTCATGGGGCTTTATCATTTCATTGTCCCTTTCCTGCCTCCCCTCTGCCCGAGGTGTGGTCCAAACTGGCTCAGCAACCCCACACACTTCCATGTGTCCATGCCTAGGGTGTGGTAATTAAATTATGTCTGGGCAAACAGTGTGTTCTTCAGTCCCCATTAAATGTTTAAACTGCGTTCGAAGACTTTTTGTTAGAGCTGAGGATACCATCACAAAGGAAAAGGACAAACACATAGAACATGACTAAATCATTGGCCGTTACATACAAACGCATTTACTCACAGCATATAAGCTTTTCCACTTCTTCCTGTTGGTACTGTCTCACATGTACAGCTCAAAGAGCAGTATTAAAGTCTGTATAAGCAATTTTAATCTACAGTTTGTACTGGTTAGACATCCTTCGAATATCTCGTAAAACTGTTTTAGATTAGTCACCACAAAAATGGTATTGCTGATCCAGAGACAGTACAAAGCAAAGCAAGCAGAGAAATTACTGGCATGTAAAAATGTCATGTTCAGATTAAGAGAATAGAATTATTTAAACCTGGAACAAAAAAAAATTGGTGAGGAATTGATTTCTCACAGTTCCCAATGGAATATATAATTGCTAACTTTAAACGCCTAAAATAAATGGGTAGTTACTGTGCAATCAATCTGTTAAGAAGAAACAATCTACTGTGTACTGTGTGTAGTAAGTGCTCAGTTTAGAATCACCACACCACCACTGGTTATAAACTGAGCTGACATATACAGTACTTAAAAAATGAATACGCATGTAAAGGAAACAAGAGAGAGCATCTTCGAAAAAGACAATACTAGACACGGTGACACACAAAACATTAGTACTCACTCTTTCTGGGGAGAAAGCACTTCAACAAAAGTCCAGTCTGAAGTATAAAACCTTTGCAAGTTCTTAAATCGAGGTAGAATGGACAATAAAATGATACCAAACGATGAAGTGACCAGGCTAAAGAAGCACAAAAACAAGACTTGTTCAGATGTAACATGACAGATTATTAGAGTGATAATCAAGTATTGCATCTGATTTGTGATTAGCTACAGCATATT